AACTATGCAATATTACAAAATGTTGGTTCCATTTCATGACTGCAAACGTGTCTTTTATCGATTATGTGAATGGATAGACATTTTTATCAATGATCTTTGAAAGAAATTCAAATGAACATTATAAACGTATTTTAAATACTATCATTGCTGTTATATATATATATATATATATATATATATATATATATAACATTGAAATTTCTGGTTATGGTAACGTTAATTACTTCATTGTAAAACTACGGTTAGAAAATTTCGATTAGATATAATTGAGCTTCAACTGAGCTAGATGAACTAATTCCTCATTTAAAGACTGTGTAAATGTTTTCCATTAGCTGATGTTTTAGTTTGAAATAATCAACCACATCTAATCGCAATGCTGTAATCAAGAAAAGAGAGAAAACAGAAAGCGGAAAAACCTAATTCCATAGATTATTCACCGAACACGTTTTCTTCCTTATTTTACCAAAAGGTATACATAAAGTTTATGATAAATTAACGCTTTCAAAATCTTAATTTATATCTTGTAACGTTACTAGTTGTGATTAATATAATAATGTATTTAATGTTGTTTAATTTTATATCCCCATTTAAAATTTTTCTAACTTTAAGTCGCGGTTTTTTGAAAATTAACTCAGCTACTCATTCGCGTTCTTCGCAGTTAGCATTATTTTCAGTTTCAATATTGCACTGCTTCTGAAAGATTTATGCTTATTTCTAACCAAGAGGCCTAAAACTGACTATCAACTTTAAATTAGGTTTAAGTGAGATTAATTTTAAATTATATGACAGAGTTAATGAGTTAGAGAACATAATATGCTCTGTTGCAGAATAGTTGAAATGTAAATTTCGGTTTAAATATTCGTTTCTAAGATGGATTTAATGTATTTTGATAAATCGTTAATGTTTATAAATTAAATGAAATTAGAACATTTCGAAAACAGAAATCATAGAACAAATTGATTTACCAAAATATGGAAAGTCATACTGCTCTCTATATATTTACCCATTTCATAAGGTATAATAATGACTTTTTTGTTATAACTACATAAAGTTACTTGGAAAATACTTTATACATATACGTGCTTAAAGTGAAATTTTCATAATGTTTCTAAAACTTTGTAACTTTGTAGAGACATTAGGTATATTTTTGAGGCGGAGAGAGGAAACGTTAGCAGCCGCCTTCGCCGGAAATCGAACCACGGACCTCTGGAATAACGGCCCAGCGTGCAGAACCACTACACCACACGTACGAAAGCGGGAGACATACCTTATAACTTGCTCAAACTAATATATATTTTATACTTATTCGCAAAATATTGCGTAGATATTAGCGTATAATAATGCAAATTTAAAGCATAGTTTTGTTATTATGATTTAATCACACTGAACAAAATTGACGTTTAAATTACAAAGTTGAAAAGGCATTCCAATTGAAATTAATTTAAACCAATAACTATCTAACGAATGCATCATTAATATTATCGTGTTTACTGATAATCAGATGCGCTTTATCTGGAATACACAACCTGCAGCATTTCCCGAATCTACCCACAAAGCATGTTGCAGAAAGTAGAGCTTTTCTTTAAATTAGTTGCGCATTTCCTTTTTCAAAATTGTTTACATTGTACATTCTCCATATATTATGCAGTTCATATTCTGTTCGTGTCATTTAAATCTGCCAGTTGCTAATTGCTTGCTACGGTAATGTATAATGGGAAAACATATACATGCCATATGTAAAGTTGAAATTTATTAGTAATAATGTGACCTAGACACTATCTCTTCGTACCTACTTTTATGTCAGACATTTTTGTACTATATAAGTAGCACTATTATTAAAGAAGACAGAACATCATAAATCATAAAGAAAAATTAAACCATAAGGCACAAGCCGTGTTTTATGTAATGTTGTACACATATACACATATATAAATGGAGGCACAATTCTTTTGCCTCCATTTTTCTTTCTGAGCAACACTTAGTTACAGGAATTTGTGATAAAATGCTTACTTTTGAACATATGGTTTGCGATTATATAAGAACATTTACAGATATATCATGAAGAGAATGTTTATTATTCCTATTACTTTCACTTATCCATTTCCTTCCTTTTTTACATTTTATTATATTCATTTTATGGCTTCAAACGTCATTCCGTCCACATTCTTTGTAACTAACCGAGAAAACTGCATTCTTTCGTTTCGCTTTTAATCACGATTTTTTAAAAGGAATTTTAATTTAATGAACATTCAAAGACTTTTAGTCAATTCTTTGAGCGTATTTTCTATTTATGATGTACATAAAATCCAGAATCAAATTAAAGTTTCATTTGTAGAAATTTAGTAATGCCTCCTTCTTTTAAATAAGAATGAGTCCTTAATTGCGAGATACAAATTTTCCCTTAAGCCCTATTCTCGTTTTTAAATCTTCATCTTTTAAATATAATGAATGAGTCCTTAATGAAACACACAGCTGCGAGATACAAATTGGGGCAATCATAGGATACGAACATTTTGTTAATTTACAATCTTCATCGTTTTTAAATCTTCATCATTTTTAAATATAATGAATGAGTCCTTTAATGAAACACACAGCTGCGAGATACAAATTGGGGCAATCATAGGATACGAACATTTTGTTAATTTACAATCTTCATCGTTTTAAATCTCATCATTTTTAATATATGAATGAGTCCTTTTGAAACACACAGCTGCGAATACAAATGGGGCAATCATAGGATACGAACATTTTGTTAATTTAATCTTCATCGTTTTTAAATCTTCATCATTTTTAAATATAATGAATGAGTCCTTTAATGAAACACACAGCTGCGAGATACAAATTGGGGCAATCATAGGATACGAACATTTTGTTAATTTACAATCTTCATCGTTTTTAAATCTTCATCATTTTTAAATATAATGAATGAGTCCTTTAATGAAACACACAGCTGCGAGATACAAATTGGGGCAATCATAGGATACGAACATTTTGTTAATTTACAATCTTCATCGTTTTTAAATCTTCATCATTTTTAAATATAATGAATGAGTCCTTTAATGAAACACACAGCTGCGAGATACAAATTGGGGCAATCATAGGATACGAACATTTTGTTAATTTACAATCTTCATCGTTTTTAAATCTTCATCATTTTTAAATATAATGAATGAGTCCTTTAATGAAACACACAGCTGCGAGATACAAATTGGAGCAATCATAGGATACGAACATTTTGTTAATTTACAATCTTCATCGTTTTTAAATCTTCATCATTTTTAAATATAATGAATGAGTCCTTTAATGAAACACACAGCTGCGAGATACAAATTGGGGCAATCATAGGATACGAACATTTTGTTAATTTACAATCTTCATCGTTAGTAAACTATGCAAAATCACCAAATGAAGCTAGGTATAAGTAGCAGTTTGTTTGTCTAATCGAGTAAGACAAATGTGGGGCAGATAACTGCTTTAGGAAGAATACCATCATGAAGAATTTTTAAAGGAAACTAGTTGGTGTTTACTTTTGACGTGGAGAAATCCTTAAACCACTCCATTCACTGGAAAACGATACTGGCTGTAAAAAAATAAAAAAAATAAAAAAATAAAAAAAAAATTAACAATCATATAAATTTGGTCGCTGACGGGTTCTGTCTTAAATTCTTTCCATTCTTTCCTTGAATTCAGGAATAATTCAGTGTTCGATTGGCTTTAGTTTTGTAAAAGGTTTGTAAAGAATTAGATGAGTCTAAAATAAAAAGATATTATTATCTACTTAAGATATAAAATTTTGCGGAGACCAGCTTCAGATTCCTTCCAAATTTATAAACATTTATCTATAAAACTCATGTTAGTTTTTAATTACTATTTTATAAATTTTTATCTGATGTGTATCTATTTTAATTGTTTCGCATTTATATAACATAAAGCTGTCGTAGTACATGTAAAACTAAATTTCGTGAGCAATTATGTTTAATCTATTTGAAATATTTAAGCATCATATTTAAAATGTACTCTTTATAATTAAGAAGAAGGTTATTGAGTTGTAGTAAAACAGACAAGAGGTATCTGTATATGTCGCAACCAAGTTTGGTCGAGGTAACCAAAATATGAAGTAGTATTTCCTAACAATTTTCCATTACCATAAAATTTTCTAAAATATTATCGGATTGAGTATTTACATTTTCAAGGACACTAGAAAAAACGCTAAGACCTCATTCGGAATTTTAAGAAAACCTAGTGAATGCAACAGTCAGTCACTAATCGTATCCAAGAATGCCAAACGCTATAATTTAAATATTACAATCCATTTTATTTCAGTTTTTAGGACCTAAAATTTTTAATTAAAATTTGTGTTCTGTTCATTATTTAATTAAGCGCGAAAGAATATATCTTCAAGTGAAAATGCAATACCTTTAAGCTGTCAGTAACATTAAAATATTGTATTAAATTTTCTCTCCGATGTTGGTATTGAATGAGAGGCATTTCTCAATTAAACAATTTTTATACAAATTATTTTATACAATTGCGCAAGCAAACTACCAGTTCACTTTTTGCTCTTTTAGACCTCAGAATTTTATCTAGTTTTCTAGCAGTTTAGTAAACGCAGGTGGCAATTTTCAAGTTGAGTAGAAACTTTCTGATTTTCTACCTAAATGTCCATCAAAAATGTTCCGACTGCTGGGTAAAAACTGATTCGTGTAGTAATAAATTCCTAATACTGCTAGTACAAACTATGCTATTCAAAAGAAAAAGTTGACGGATTACATTATCAAAGAAAATAAAACGTAATGGCATACACTCATTGTTATCAGTTGATATCAATGTTTGCGACTGTTTGGGAATATTTAGATATCAGACATATTTGTTTCTTTGCGCATAATAGCATGTACATGTTTGTACGTGCATCCATAAATGATATTGTATGCAGATATTCATGTATATGTATAATATATAAGAAAAATAGTGCTTTACAATGTATTTCTTTCTTCTTGCAGATCAGTTTTAAAATCAGTCTATCTTCTCAAACGTTGTATGAAGAACGTGGTAAGTATAAGAATTTAAATTTATTTAGATTTTCAAAGATCATGTATAAATATATATATCCGTTACTTATGGACGAATGTTCGTTTTATATATTTGCATAGCTAAAAGAAGCAGGTTTAACGAGTCAGAAAATAACAGGTGGTTATTAATTTTGCAACAAAAGACTTCTTTTGTTTCCATTTTCAGAGTTCAAACCTAACTTTAATCATACAATTTTGTAAAAAATGCCTTAACCTTCCTATTGCCTTCGCTTTAACCGTTTTCTAGTAAATGTATTTTATAATATAGTATCTAAAAATGTTGAAGACGAAGCACTACAAAAGCGTTCACATTTTGATAAAATGGAGACAATAAGTTCTTCCCATGTTCCTATAATCACTCATTTCAGTAATCTAAAGCTAAGCTGATTTAAATATGTGTTTAATGGCTGATACAGATAAGGTTTCTTTGCTGATGGGAAGCGATATACAAATCCCCATGAATAACGAATATTTTAGTCTTAAAAGCTGAATATAAAACCTAGATTTGTGAACGTAAATCTCATACTGATTTATAAACTCGATACATTATTTAAAGCGTTCCTTTATCTCGTATATTTAGAAATGAAGTATATTAAAACTAAAATATTTTATGAGTAATATCTTATTTGATAATTAAATATTATTAACAAAGATATTAATAACTGCAATTAATGTTTAAAATATATTTTGTAAAAATAATAAAACTAGAGAGAAATATAGAGAAAAACATTTAATTCATTTTTAATACATCTGTATAAGAAACTGGTAGCTAAAGTTTATCAGTGTGATAAATAAACATGTTATTTCTAGCTGTTATTCTTACACTTCTTTATGGTAATCACACTCATGGAGCCAAAGCAGCATAAAACTCGTAAAGCAGCATTTCTTAATATTTTTGATAAGTGGAACCATTTTTAATATCCATTTTATCGTGGGACCCCTGGTTTCCTTCAATAGCATGGTTTTAATGAAATACCCTGTAAACGGATTTTATATGCAACATTATTATCGCAGATATACTTAATATTAGGCCTTTAGTATATAAAGTGGACTTCTCATATCAAGTTCGACATCAAGTCTGTTGCGGTATCAAGTTTTTGTCAATAAATAAACTGGGAACCCTTTTCATGTAACTGCTCATGATAAAAATGCCATCATTGATCTTTTTTGACAAATTTGGATATTCAGCTTGTAAACTGCAACAGAATTCCACTAACAACATCAATTTTAATTTCTCATGCTACGATGACTATGATATAATTTGTAAAAAAATTCTTATTCTGTTGATATGGTCGAAGTTTGCGCATTGTCAATAAATGGGGTTCTAATCCACAATTAATTTTGATAGTTAATCTGCTGTTCATTTGAAAAATATTGATTAAAAGCTTCACCCAAACCTTTCAGGTGCTAAATAATATTTTTGATAAATGTCTTCCCTATTTCAACCCCTTCCTTTTCTGAAAGATCTTTCACTGTTGGGAAGCATTCAAAGTCATTGGTCACAAATTGTCCAAAATTGTATATTTTTCTTAAAATTGTTTTGCGAGCAGTAAATACATTTATTTATTCGAGTCGAAGTTAAACCACTAAATTGTAGTGAGATGTCCACTATTCTTTGTAAACCTATTACTTAAATGGACAATTCTAAGCAGCCAACTTTTATTAAATAATTGACATTTCAATTCGAAACTGTGTTCTGAAAGAAAGCAGCACCTCGTCCGGTAGCTCAAAAATACCGGTTAGTATCATTTATCAAGATAAAAATCTGAAGGAAAGATGTTATGTACGTACACTTCCCATGCCTTCATATAGCATTTTAAATAAACAATTATTTAGTGTCTGAGATGTTATGAAGTTAATGAACTTAAAGTATTAAGAGAATTAATGATATTAAGAACTTTCTTATAGTCGGCGGATAATTTTTCGCAGCCAAATGCGTGCCTGTGCGTCATGCAGTGGCCACTAGATTTTAGCTATATTTTTAACAAGCCGTACAGCCCAATTAATTATGCCACTTATGGTTTTCGCTGCATCGTTACAAATGTTTCCCCCATACTATTTGTGTATGCAATCATCGAAAAATAAATGTTTGTCCGCTATCCTATTTGGATTGCCTTATAATTTACAGTCTGGTCAAAATAGGTTATGTTTCTTGCTTCTAATCTTATGGAAGAGTATGTATGATATAATTTTACAATAACTAGTAAAATATATCAATAACTAGTAAAATATATCAAGTAAAAAAAGTCAATCAATTAATATTTTATAAGAACATTATACCAACAAGTGAATATTATCCTGGCTACTCGTAGCAACATTATATTCGAGTATACAGGTTTTCACTGTATTTTTAAAACTGAGGAATTTAACTGTATTTCTAGATGGTGAAATCCCCCTTGAGTAACGATCAATAAATAAATTTACCAGAGAATAACCGGTAACTGGTTCCTATTCCCCAATGCCCCCTTCTGTAAATACCAAACATTATCTCCTCAGCACCATCACACCCGGTGACGTAGTAATTACAATGACTATTCCTATTAAATGAAGACTATATTCATATTTTTATTTTAGTAAAGACATTAATTTGTATTGTTTTTTCAAGTTACTTTTTTGAGAAAGTTACGAAAAAAACTACATAAGTTTCGCTGAACCATTGGGTGATCTACGTTGAACCTAGGGTACCGTGGAACACAGTTTAAAAAATTATTGGCTGAAAGTACCCCTCAGATAGTATTCTATTCATTTTTTTTGGATTAGTGTTAGCACAATGAAGCCATGTTTAAGGAAAAGCTCAGATCTAAGTCAAGGCAAAAGCAAAATTAAATGTTGTAGCCGCTTGCAAAAATAAACGTAAAGGTTAAATTCAAATGCAAGTCTGTTATATAGGTAGCTTATTGTGTCATAAGTTTTGGTGACTACGAAATCTGTACTTGTTTTTCAAGGACTTGTTATTTTTCTAGCTAAGCAATTGTCGGGAATACCTAAACCCATCTCTCATTCTAATCCTCTCCTCTGCGAATGTGTTTCATGAGAGTGTTCCTTACCTTCACTCGAAGTTTGAATATGTAGTTTCGAGACACACTATATTTTCTTTCTATGTTAGTAATTTTAACTTTATTTAAACGATCAAAATTTGATTTTAGGGTTTGCAGGATAGGGCGTTTAGCAAAGTATTTAATTTTTTCTGCTGTTTTCCGTTAGAGTTATGTTTATTCCTATTTTTAAAAATTTTTTAATTTATTTATATGCAGAAATTTTTTTAGAATAACAGCAACGTTTATATCTCGGACATAAATAGCTTTCATAAGCAAATATTTTTTTTATATTAGTGAAATATGGTTTCTCAAAATATCAGATAAATTTTTCGAAGACCTGGTTAATTTCACAGTTCAAAGAACTAAACTGGTGAGCACTGATTCAAAGATACACCATCGTTTTTTAAAATCTCAACATTAAGCAGAAAATGACATAAGTCTGCATAACAACGTATCTCTAACATTAACATAGCATATTCATATTAAGAAATTTAAAATCAGTGACAACGCTATCATCGACAAGTTCAGAAATTCAGTCCAAATTTCAAATCTGGGAGTATTATCGGGGAGGTCGTTGCAAACGCTCAATGAATTTTACGGAACAATCAAATATTCATTTCGTTTACAAATGGACTAATTTAAATAATTATATATCTTCACATAAAATGGAATAATTGCAAAATGGAAGACATGCGCAGTCTAAGAAATGCAAACCATGCATTGCTTCTAGCAATCTCTCGTGGATAAAACACGGCAGATTAGAAGGTAGAAAATGCAAATATGTGATGTATTCCATGTCTTAAATTGAAATTTGAATGATCATTAAATGTAAGTTATTTTTCCGTACACAAAAATGTCTTAACAGTAAAAAAGGAACATACAAACACAAACAAATATTTATAAATACAAATTGGAAAAGTATAGTTCAAGTTACTAGAAAATATTAAATTCCACAAAGTCATTTTGATTTAAGTACGCTATGTATCTTCTCTTGTATTCTTTTCACTATGCTTCTGAAGTAAAATGTTACTGGTATCAGCACAGACAAATTATTTTCACAGAAGGTAGTGTGATTTATACCGCTTTTATCAATAGACGTAGCACCAGTAACAAGGGAAAACAAATAATGTACAGTGGATCGAAGAAAGCATTCTGGAGGGAAAATTATTGGAAAGAAAATTTCAGTTACTGTGTAAGAGAAACAGATGCTCTCAATCCTCACAATACCACCAAGCCGATTGTTCAAGTGTATCTAAGCATCTGATATCACCACTTTGATGTCTTTACGCGATCATAAGGAAGTTTTGCTATTGGAATTGAACGGTGAAATGGAATGTTGTTACATTTCTAGTAAAACAAAACTAAAACAAATATTTCTAGGAGTCTGCAGCCAATAAAATCTTTAAAAAATAGATTGTTAGGAAGTTGAAGATCGTTGAATTTTGCTAATTATATATTTAATAAAGTTCCTAATTTTAGTAAAACCTAAACCGCAAACGACTCCCATGCGACGAAATTGCGCGAAACATTTAATTTAAAAATGGAGACTTTTTTTTTTTTTAAATCTTTTTCAGCTTTCTTCCAATGTATGATTAAAACGTATTTATAATAATTCGAGACTGAATTTTCTCTTTAATGTCACTCAGTAATTTTATTTTATGCTTTCCTTAGTGTATAATGTCCTTTGATTAATAATTTTATTATTCATGTTACGTCGAAATAATTTTCACAGAAATAATTTATAAGTTTTTAAATGCTAAAAATAAGTAATTAATATTTTCATGCAATTTTGTTATGTTAGAATAAAACTAGAATTGCTTTTAATTTTTAATTTATGCAAATGTGTTACAAGTTTCCATGTCCAAGCTTGCCATTATTTCTTTTAATTCAAATTCTGTAAGATTCTGTGCGAAAGATCTTTTTTTGAAGGGATTTATATCAA